GGGGCCTAGTAAGTTGGTTAAGGAACTCTACTACTACTAGTACCAGTGCTCATAGAGTCTATGTCCCCCAGGTTACTGCCGGAACGTACCCTGGGTACGGTGCGGTGTACCAGAACGTACCCAGGTCACTATTTGATAGGGTTAGGATTAGGGTTAGGTTTAGGGTTCGGGTTCGGGTTAGGGAGTAGGCGTAGGCGACTCCCTAGACTCGTTAGTGGAGTAGGCTAGGTACGGTCCGGCATATAATATAGTATCAGGGTACGTTCCGGTATACCGGACCGTACCCAGGGTACGTTCCGGCAGTAACCCGGGGGACATAGACCCTATCAGCCTGACTAAGGCTAAAGGCGTAAGGCTATCGCCACAGGCACTTGAAGCTCTATTATTATGTGTTAGTGTACGCGCAATGGCGGCGCCGTATGTTTACAGTTGATACGCTTCAAGTGCCTGTGGCTATCGCCGTAGGCATGAACCGTAAGGCGTAACACTAACACTAACACTTACAGTAACAGTAACAGTACTAACACTTACACGTGAATGATGTGATAAATCCGACACGAATAATTGTAATCTACAAATATGATGGTTCTTCAGCAAATGTGTATTCGAATTAATAAGTCTAAATATGTTAGACATCTCGGTATTTTATACACTATGACTAAACATAAATACAAAATTCCAACACCACAACACCATGAATATTATAGTCCAGCGGCACTACAGATGGCGCTACAGGGGTCAAAGTTTCAGGTTGCGAAGTTCAAAGTTCGTGATTTGATTACGCCAGATACATTGTTTAGATTGGATTAAAATTTCTATAGAAAGCAAAAAATGAATAGATAAGACGCTAAAATTGACGAAAAACTTCTAAAAAGAATAGTTTACACGGGGAATAACGGCTTCTTGCGCTAAACTGTAGTAAACAGTAAATTACTAAATGCACTCAGTGTCACAGTGAGACAGTGACTCACACGCGCACGCATGATGATGATACACAAAATATCGCGCCGAACAGTTATGATGTTTTTAATTTGGTGTTATGCACACAGAAAAATTTTGGTGATTTCGTAATGGAACAGGGTGTAAAGTTTATCGGAATCGTAAATACTTATAAGTTAGCAAAGTTCTTTGGCAAAAAGGCCCTCCACATAGTTACTGAATATTTGTCGTTCACTTGTTACCGCACCAGCGCACGAGGGGTGTAAACTGTAAACAGTGAAATGTATCATGTGTAATATTATATTTGGAAATTGAACCAGACTTACATCAAACATGTTATGACATAGTAACAAGGTAGTAGTGATCACTGACAGTGTTACTGTTTTTCTAGTTACCTTATTCCACCTAAACCAGATACCCACCTAACTACTAAACTAGTGCAACGTAACCGTAACGTAGGCTACCAGTGGCAGTACCACGTCACGTGCGCGACATCTCTATCGGACTATCCTTCAGCCGCCTGACCTGAACCTCAACAAGTTCAACCTGCCGGGCCTCAGCCTCGGGCTCAGCCTTGACAGTTGACTCTTGGCTTCATGTAGTCTGTAGAATTGAACTGGCCTAGACACGTCACTTGAAATTCAGGGGGCCGTTGTCAGAAACAAAATTAGTCGCAACATTACTCATTACTACATTACTCATTAGTCTTACCATTAACTTCCACTCGTAAACCGTTGACAGAATCTCATAAGGTTACGAGAACGAAAAATCCTCGCAAATATCCTCATAACATTACGAGAGCCCAGACCCTCTCGTAACTTTAATATTAAGTTGAAAATAACACATTTACACTACGAATTACAATTATAGTGATATTATATTTTTAATATAATAATGAATAAAATGTGTGTTTTTCCTGAAAAACACGTCAAAATCATTAATTATCTACCGCTAATAAAACAAAACAATACATTTACAAATGGCGTATGGCATTTGTTCTCTTGTTCTAAAGGTTTTCCACGCTTGCCACGATTCTCACGTCTCGCGTTACAGTGTGAGAATTTGTCTTGTTGTGCAGAATAAATCATGACCACGTCGTTTTTCATCATAATATGCATAAATTACTGTGATGTACAATAAATGTGTATGAATTTGAATTTTGTGATTGATTCTCATCCAATTAGCAGCCTTGTGATGAAGTTCCTGTTATCGTAAGTTTTCTAATAGCTGCGATGTGTTTCTGTCAACGCTAGTCTCGCAACATTAGCATTAGTAGTAAGTGTTATCGTAGCATTAACTTTACGATGTTTCTGACAATGGGCCCCAGGTGATTACAGCAATAAAATAATAGTTATTAGCTCATCTGACATATCCGTCCGTCCGTCCGTCCGTCCGTCCGTCCGTCAACAGTTGGGCACAAATCTTAACCGCTTGACGTATGGTCACGATATTCGAGATGTGGGGGGGTAATCCGCGAAAACGAGTTGGGATGTCGAAGCTGGGGGTCAAATGTCAAAGGTCAAGAGGTGTAAAAGAGGTGTAATCGACGGCACAGCTTAGCTGAGACGGCCGCAGAGAAATCTTGTTGTTTGATTGCCATAGCTTGGGCTATAGTTTGGCGCTATTAGTATTATACGGAACCGTTATTCGAGTTGTTTCTTCGTTGAGCAAATATAGGCTTGATACATATTTTTAGCTCATTTGACATAGTCAGATGCAGCTTGTAGAATCGCATGATCGTTCGTCCGTCCGGGCGTCAACAGTTGGGCACAAATCTTAACCGCTCGACGTACGGTCACGATATTCGGGAAGTGGGGGGGTAAGGTGTATGTTCCTTAAATCGTATAATTTCTATGTCATTCTGTACTGTCCGTATGTTACATGTAACGTATGCCACTGCCAGTGGCTTGCTGCCAGTGCATGTGTTGGTGCAGTTTTTTCCTGCGTTAATTGCTTACAGGTGGAGCTCTCTTATTGCATTTGCGAGCTGTAGGCTTGCGTAGGTAAATGGATGAGTGCTTACCTTTATGTCTTGCAAATAGTTGTTGCTACTACGTATGATGGGAGCTTCCATCTTTAATCTGAAGACACTTAAACGTGGCAACGTGGCAACTTTCATAACGATCCCAACGAACATTCTTTTGAGAAGGTTCCTGATACCATCCCTGTGCATTCCACTGTTTCGGCGTGTATGTGAACACATTTGGGACTAACAGGGTTTACTAGAATCCCAC